GGTAAATCAGAAGATAGATGCTGAAAGGAGCTGAACGTTTCAAAAAGCCGAACCAGAACAAAACGTGAAGCTGAGCAGTAAAAGGATGTAAACAGCACAAAGGGTTTGAAGGATGTGGAGAGAGCGCCATTCATTTTCAATGAGACAAACATGGCCGACAACGCTAAATATTTCTAAGTAAAAATTGCACAAATACCAAAAGTTACATTTTAAATAAACAATCCACGGATGTTTATTAAAAATGTGACGGTATTTAAATTTAAATTGTAGAGAAGTGCAGCAGGACATGAAAGGGTTAACCTTCACGCAGCTTCATGCAGCATGGAGCACAAACGTTCTTCTTGATCAATTACACTGAAACAACTGAACACAGAAGTTCTAAAATCATAAAAATAACTTTTAACACCTTTATATTTTGTGATTATGATGATTTTTACAATGTGACAGACTGAATTTTAAGCTGGAAGGCAAAAGTCGATCTGTGCAGCAGGACATCAAAGGGTTAACCTTCACAAAGCTGCAGCAGGAGAAACGTGCGTGTGGCAGAGGAGGAGGAGATCATGACAGGCTGCAGGAGGGAGCTTCTCCCTGCACGTGTGAGCTGCACACATGGTGCAGAATCTTTTTAAATCATTTACTTGAAATAAACAAGCCATGGCTCATCCATCAATCAGACAAATGTGTCATGTCCAGTCTTACTGTGAAAATCTGCGATATCGTGCGAAGTAGCGAGGGACCACTGTATATCAATGTTACGATACCATTCTGGTTAACTTCCTTTGGGGTTTATTGGTGAGCTCAACCCCATCACTGACACAGAGCCACCGTGCCCTCGGACGTGCCTGCGCTTTAAGCCACTCGCTCTGCTCAGACGCTGATTGCTGAACGTGTCCACACGATGCTAATGATCTTACACCGGCTGCACTTCGTCTACGCCACAACTAACAAAAGCATGTAAAGATGTTAAACGTGCTTTTCTTCTAATATCAACCCTCTACTGACTTAGTGTTTGAGACTTTAAAGCCCCAAAACAGCTCTTCACAAGCTCTGCACACAAAATAAGTTATTGTTCCCATGTTAAATGACACCCCCCCCCCCCCATTTGAACCAAATAGTTTCAGAAAAAGCTTCAGGCTGACCGCTTACCTGTTTTGTTCCTCGAGCTTTGCAAGCAGCTCCTCATCGTCAGGACTGAGCAGTGCAGGCGAGGACAGAGACGTGGAGGAGGAGGAGGTAGTGGGGGTCTGCAGGGATGTGGGCGTGGCCACCTGGCTAGCCATCTGACTGACCGTGAGCGACATAGAGTTCTTCACCCATGAGAGAGTAGAACTCAGCTTTCCTGCCACCTTATCTGTTGCCACCTGCAGAGAACGGGGAAGGACCTTGTGTCTTTACGGTTCTTAAAGCTGCAGTTATTTTAAAAAGCCTTTCACCCCCACAGAGGGGGACACATGGTGCACGTCTGAACGGCTAACACGCATCAGACAACTCCTACAGACATCTCTCTGGCATGCAAAGCTCCACTGTCTGTAAACAAAGTATTGAAAACCCGGTGCAACATTTCGGGATCCCAGCAGACTTGCAGCGCTGCATGAACGGTTTCACAAGACTGGACTCCCAGTTTGAACTGGGTGGATCAATGCAGCTGCTGACGTTTCAGTTAGCTTTAGTAAATCCATTTCTGTTTTGGTTTCCAAAATCAATATCCTCAATGACTTGCTTGTGTTCCAATAAAAGCTTGATGCGTCTGCAATTAATCACAACAGTAAAAACATGAAAGCTGCATCACTTGAAACCACCAACAACTTCATGTTTATTTAAAAGATGAGCCATGGTTGCTAGTTTTACTTTGTCCACCGTCACAGAGCGAACACGGGATAAGGATAAACCCCGCCCCTCCCGTTGTCCGTCTGCGCATGTTGTGAGCATGATAATCTAAAAAAACAAGTGAGATATTAGGGTGCACCGATTTATCAGCCCCGATTTCCTGAATTTTGGGAAATTGGAAATCATCCGACACTTGCATGAGAAACTGATTTTACAGGTTTTTTAAGTTTTAACAATTGTCTGAACTTCTTTTACATTTCAGAGCATGACCTCATGGCCAGTTAGAACCAGTCTGTATTGTTCAAGGATATGTTCTTCAATAAATTAATATTGGAAAAGTGAAGGTGCATTGTGACCTTACAACATCTGACAGTGTCGCTTAAAAAACTAAATCGGAATCGGCAGGTCAGACTTTTTAGAGGTGATCGGCCAGAAAACTGCAATTGGTGCGTGAGACACCAACTTGAGTTTTGGTAAGTCGCTACATCTAGGCATAAGAAAAGGTCCTTACAAAAATTAGGTTGACAATGACAACAAAGTCCATGCTCAACAATCCAGGATTACAATCCAACATTTTTCAGTCAGCTCGTCTGGACAGTTTCTTTTTTTGTGCTGAAACCATCTTATCACAAGCAGAACTGGTTTGTTCCACTTTGGAGTAAGATGTTGGGGGAAGAATCAGTTTTGTGTTGTGCGTTTCCTTGACTGATGAAGCCTTCTGGATGGAAGGTGAAACGTTTCAGCACAAAAGCAGAAACTGTCCAGATGACCTGACTGAAAAATGTTGGATTGTAGATCTGGATTATTGAGCATGGACTTTGTTGGTTTCTGCATAAATATCAACTAAAATTTTAGATAAAATTTTCAAACAACTCCTAAAAGTAGATAGACAGCCCAGTAAAAAAATGTGACAAAAAGCACTCCACCATGGCGTAAACACTTGAAAGTAAATTATTTATTGAGGGAAAAGGCCCATATATTACATATCTGTGATGGTAAAAGTATGTGAACCTCTAGGATTAGCAGTTAGTTTGAAGGTGAAATTAGAGTCAGGTGTTTTCAATCAATGGTGATGATCAGATAAGATAAAACTTTAATGATCCAGCAGGAAATTGTTGTGCCAGAGTTTCAGTACAAAGGAACATACACAAGGAATCACACAAGATATTAAAAAATAACAGAATATAAAAAATAACAGAGCATATAAAAACACCAACATTAAGTTGTAAACAGGTGCAGACAGAAACATTAAAGAGTTTATTGTGCTGCAGGATTCATTTTATTGTCCTATGTGTATGGAGGGGTTGAAAAGTTCTACAGTCCCAGAGAGGAAGGACTTCCTGTGTCGTTCTGTGGAGCACCTCGGTGGTCTCAGTCTAGGACTGAAGGTGCTGTGGTCAGAGTCCAGGGTGTCATGCAGGGGGGGTGACGTGTTGTTCAGGATCTGGAGCAGGTTCCTCAGCATCCTCTGCTCAGACACCTCTGTCAGAGACTGCAGGTCCACTCCCAGAACTGAACCAGCTCTCTCATGAGTTTATAGAGTCTGTTGGCACCAGCTTTCTTCACCCTGCTGCCCCAGAACACCACAGCGTAGAAGAAGACGCTGGAGACCACCGAGTGGTGAAACATCTGCAGCATGGTCCTGCAGATGTTAAAGGACCCGAGTCTCAGAAGAAAAAGGTGACTCTGTCCTTTCTTGTAGAGGGTGTTGCTGTTAACTGTCCAGTCTAGTTTATTGTCCAGGTGTACCCCCAGGACCCCCAGATGATGATCAGGTGTGAGTGGGCACCCTGTTTGATTTAAAGAACAGGATCTATCAAAGTCTGATGTTCACTGTTTGTGGAAGTGGAACTGTCCAGATGACCCGACTGAGAATTATTGGATCATGGCACAAACGAAGGAGGTTTCTGAGGAGCTCAGAAAAAGAGTTGTTGATGCTCATCAGGCTGGAAAATGTTACAAAACATCTGGAAAGAGTAGGGGTGTACTAATAAATTTAATTTTGGGAGATCAGAGATCGGCTGATACTTGCATGAGAAACCGATTTTACCGATTTTATTTTAGTTTTAACAACAACTGTCTGAATTTCATTTATATTTCAGAGCACGACCTCATGGCCAGTTAGAACCAGTTTCTATTGTTTCTAGGATATTGTTCAAGGATATGTTTTACAATTAAATAATATTGGAAAATTGAAGGTGCATTGTGACCTTATAACACCTGACAGTGTCTCTTATAAAACAATATCAGAATCGGCAGGTCAGACTTTTTAGAAATCTGTGATCGGACAGAAAACAGCAATCGTGCACCCCAACTTTGGACTACTTTGGACTAGTTTGGACTAGTTTGGACTAGGGGTGCACTGATTGAAGTTTTCTGTCCGATCACCGATTTCTAAAAAGTCTGACCTGCCGATTCCGATTTTGTTTTATAAGAGACACCGTCAGGTGTTATAAGGTCACAATGCACCTTCAATTTTCCAATCTTGTTTTATTGAAGAACATACCCTTGATCAATATCCTAGAAACAATACAAACTGGTTCTAACTGGCCATGAGGTCGTGCTCTGAAATGTAAATGAAGTTCTGACAATTGTTAAAACTTAAAAAATCAGAAAAATCGGTTTCTCATGCAAGTATCGGCCAATTTCCAATTTCCCACAAGTAAGTAAATCGGCCGGCCGATTTATCGGTGCACCCCTAGTTTGGACTCCACCAATCCACAGTCAGACCCCCCAGGAGTGATGGACCAACAAAGATCACTCCAAGAACAAGGTGTGTAACAGTGGGCGTGGTCACAAAGGAGCCCAGGGTAACTTGTAACACCTGAAGGTCTCTCACATTGACTGATGTTGATGTTCATGAGTCCACCATCAGGAGAACTGAACAACTGGTTCATGGCAGGTTGAAGGAGAAACACACTGCTCTTCAAAAAGAACATGGCTGCTCGTCTGCAGTTTGATAAACATCACGTGGACAAACCAGAAGACTGTTGGAAGAATGTTTTGTGGACGATGAGACCAAAATAGACTTTTGGTTCAAATGAAAAGTTTGATGTTTGGAGAAAGGAAAACTCTGCATTCCTGCAGAAGAACCTGATCCCATGTCAGTGTCTAGCATTATACAAGGATGGTGCCCCGCCCTGTCAACAGAACTGAGCGCTCTGCTTACCCAACTGCCCCTCCCCACACACCTGTCTGCACTGACATAGCAGTAAGCTAGCTGCGCGCAATACAGACTCACTAGCCAGAAGCTACAGACGTAGCGATCCGTTTCCCTCTGAGCCACCGTATCCTTCACCACCACCCCCACCTCTCACACGGCCACTGCAGGATATGAGCACCAGTGAACCCCGCGACCCGAAAAGGAAGAAGGGGGTACAGATAATGGATGGATGAATTATTTGTTCCTATATTTTTATTTTATTTTAGAAAAGGTCCAGCAGTTAAGTTAATCTAATACTGGTCATTTAAGTTACACAATTTTATGCACTCCTGTTTTTGGTAATATATATATATAAAATGATGCCAAAAGATTTGGTACAATAAGGAATCTAAAATTATTGTTTTAAATAAATGTTCTATTTGTTTACATTGTTGTGTCATCTTTTCATCTTGTCAATTACATATTTTAAACAAAATGTATTACCATTTCAATAGCACAATCATTTCTGAATTGAAAATCATTTCTGAATTGAATCATAACCCCATAAATTTAAGTCGAGTCGAATGTCCAGAGGCCGAGATGCGCAGCCCTAAGGGGGAGGTCTGGGTTCCTGTCCTGGAGCTGCTGCCTCCTCGTCCTGATTATAGAGAAGTGGCAGAAGGATGGACTGATGGAGTGCATGATACTGTGCGCAACATTACGATGATTTTAATGGAAAACTCTAGGCGTGTGACACACATTCCTTCAAGGAATGCTAAGCTTTTATTTGCAAATGTTTTTAAGTCAACTAAATAATGCTCTGAAAAATACTTGGGGACCAAAGTATGAACACATTTAGATTTTAATCAATTCTTGCCAGGAGAAAGACAGAATCTGTCTAATGCCACCATCCATGTGCCCCTTTTGCACCGCTCCTCCTCAGCCCAGCTCAGCCCAGCTCAGCTCAGCCCAGCTCAGCTCAGCTCAGCCCAGCTCAGCCCAGCTCAGCCCAGCTCAGCTCAGCCCAGCTCAGCCCAGCTCAGCCTGGATTTGTACTGAACTTCAGAACCGGTTCTGGAGGCGTGTTCAGAATCCAAAATCCTGCTAATAAACTTTAATGAACTTTAGTTCATCATTAAGAGAGAGAGTTCTGCGATGAGTTAAACTCAAAGCAGTCTGCTCCTCAGATAAATAAAGTTCAATTATTAGTTTTAAATATGAATGTTTCTGTTAACTTATTTTAAATATGAATATTTCTGTTCAGTGCCCTGAGACGACTTCTGTTGTGAATTGGTGTTATATAAATAATCTGAATTAAATCTGATGAACCAGATCCTA